CACTAGCCTCTTTGTGGCTCTTGCATCTTTTAGAATCTCACGTTTACTTATTGATAAGTTCAAAGCCAAGAGACGCTACTTCTCTGAGCTAGATCCTCACCAGTTTTGAATAGAATCATAGAATAGTTAGGGTTGGAAAGGACCTGAAGATCATCTAGTTCCAACCCCCCTGCCATGGGCAGGGACACCTCACACTAAATCATATCACCCAAGGCCTCATCCAACCTGGTCTTGACCACTGCCAAGGATGGAGCATTCACAGCCTCCCTGGCCAACCTATTCCAGTGCCTCACCACTCTCAAAGGAAAGAATTTCCTCTTTCTATCCAATCTAAACTTCCCCTGTTTAAGTTTGAACCCGTTACCCCTTGTCCTATCACTACAGTCTCTAATGAAGAGTCCATCCCCAGCATCCCTATAGGCCCCCTTCAGATACTGGAAGGCTGCTATGAGGTCTCCACGCAGCCTTCTCTTCTCCAGGCTGAACAGCCCCAACTTCCTCAGCCTATCTTCATACGGGAGGTGCTCCAGTCCCCTGATAATCCCTGTGGCCCTCCTCTGCACTTGTTCCAACAGTTCCATGTCCTTTTTATGTTGAGGACACCAGAACTGCGCACAATACTCCAGGGGAGGTCTCACAAGAGCAGAGTAGAGGGGCAGGATCACCTCCTTCGACCTGCTGGTCACGCTGCTTTTGATTCAGCCCAGGATACGGTTGGCTTTCTGGGCTGCAAGCACACATTGCCTGCTCATGTTCATTTTCTCATTAGCCAACACCCCCAAGTCCTTCTCTTTAGGGCTGCTCTGAATCTTTTTTCTGCCCAACCTGTACCTCTGCCTGGGATTGCTCTGACCCAGGTGTAGGACCTTGCACTTGTCATGGTTAAACTTCATGCAGTTGGCATCAGCCCACCTTGGTTCAAGCCAGTACATTTATATCAAACACACTAACTGACGATCTGGCCTACAGCTGGTGAACGTTAGGCTATACATAATTAACACCATTCAAAAGAGCCCCTATATACTTGATTTTTCTAGATCATTTTAAAATAGGACGAGTAAAGCTGAAAATAATGGGATGAGCACTGGTGTAAAACTGATGGCAGAAGATTACAGGAATATGAATTGCTATTTCCCTTCATTTGACCCATCTTTTTCCATTTCATCAGCCACTACAGGAAAGAGGCACAGGACGTGGTAACACCAATGTGCCCTGCCAACAGTCTGGAGAGCTGCCTAAGCTGGCTAAGGTTTAATGACATCTGCTGTACTTAAGGATGCACTTCAGCAGCAGCAGGAGGGAATTGCCGTATTGTTCCCTATTTGAGAGTGAAGAAATCTTTGACAAAATTTCTAAGGTTGGAATTATGATGACTGGGAATGTGTGTGTAAGCATTGAAACTTAAATACAAAACAAGAGTGTTGATAACACAGGACACTGTTTCCAGAACACCATTCCCAGTAGTAAAATTAAGAAATGTATTATGTCAGGACTAAAAGGCTTCCACTTGAAACATCAAAGCACAGGTGACTGTCAGCAAAGACCATGAAGATGACAGCAAGATTATCAGTTTATCACATATACCATTTTTCCTGTTATCTCTTCAGGAGAGCAAACTACAAACATGTATTTCAAGCCATATATGTCATAAAAGGAAAAAAAGACCCAGACAGCAAGCAAGCAATGTGGCCTAAGTCTATGGAGACTGAAGTAAGCAAGATTCTGAGCCATATTACAACCCTAACAGCTGATAAACTACTAAAGGTTATAAAATATTTGGTTTGTCATTGCCAGTCAAGAAGACCCAGTGCTGTTGTGAGGACTCAACAGCCAAGTCTCTTCTGTGGTCACACAGATGTGACCCTAGGCGGACCAGCTGAATACACACATCCTGTTGCTTGCAAAAATGTGAACGCATAAAATTAACTTGCATAAGGGCTTTGTAAAGAAGGATCACCTTCCCCTTCCATGAGGTCTCTAGTTTTATAGTAGCAGTTTCATAGAATCATGGAATCAACTAGGCTGGAGAAGACCTTTAAGATCATTGAGCCCAAGTGTTACCCCAGGACTACCAAGCTCACCACTAAATCATGTTACTAAGGCAAACTTATCTCCCATCATGTCTCCCCCTCATGATCTCCAGTCACAGCCACCCTTCATCTGCCCCCCCCCAGTGGCCCCACACTATATAGCTGCTGCCTCAATCCCTCATGGCCACCCCTCATCTCCCCTTAAGATCTCCCCTCATGGCCACCCCTCATGGCCCATGGTTGCCCCTTCTCTCACCTCACGATCTCCCCTCACAACCTCCCCATCACCCCCTTCATGATCTTCCCTCATGGCTGCCCCTGCTTTTCCCTTACGGTCTCCCCTCACCCCTCATGGCCACCTCTCCTGTCCCCTCACGATCCCCACTATTGATCGCCCCACCTCTCCCCTTACGATTTCCCCTCATGGCTGCCCCTCCTTTCCTCTCACAATTCCCCCTCATGACTGTCCCACCTCTCCTGTCATGATCTTCCCTCATGGCTACCCATGCTCTCCCCTCATGATCTCCCCTCACCAATTATGGCTGCATCTCCTGTCCCCTCACGATCTCCCCTCATGGTTGCCCCTGCTCTCCCCTCACGATCTCCTCTCACCCCTCTGCTCTGCTGACAGGGTACACCACAAAGTGACCACACACTAGCTGCATAATACGCAGAGTTTATTAAACAAGCACACAAAAGCCAACAAGCACACTAAAAGCAAGCACACTAATGTGAATAAGGCAAATATCTCTCTCTATATATAGTGAATAAGTACAATAAGGCAAATCAGAGTTACAGGTATATAAGTAAAGTACCAAAGAAAGTTAGCAATGCATTAGATCATTACTGTATAGAGAGAATAGAGATTAGGAAGAAATACATCACCAGTTACCACTGACTCATAATTGACGCCCACACTTCCGGCTGGGAAGCCCCATTGCAGCTGATGCCAGGAGTCTCAGGTAATTGGGAAAATTCCTATGCAGTGCATTCACCCATAGGTGAAGCTTCTCACATGGCCACAAGATTTTATACCCTTATCAAGCCAACTGGCTTTATGCCAGATCTCTAATCATTTACTCATGGGACCGTGCAGTTTCTCGTGATCTCATCGTTGTCCACTCTGACAGCGTTGGCCAGGCACGCCAGTGCAGTCAAGTATGGTCATAGAACAGCTGCACATCTATGTTTTCCTGCCTCTTTCCGACAGTCACAATGAACACAAACATGTATACTGTGCTGAATACACTGTGACAAACAACATCCTTTGTTATGGTTCTCAGTCGTGAAAGGGAATCAACTGCCAGCTAGGTTCCCATCCATTACACCCTCATGGCTGCCTCTCTTCCCCTCCCATTGACCGATGTCTGTGATTGCCAAGAAAGCCAACAGCATCCTGGCCTGTATCAGAGATAATGAGGCCAGCAGGGCTAGGGCAGTTATCTTCCCCCTGTATTTGGCCCTGATGAGGCTGCACCTCAAATACTGTGCTCAGTTCTGGGTCCCTTACTACAAGAAACACATTGAGGTGCTGGAGTGGGTCCAGAGAAGAGCAACAGAGCTGGTGAAGGGTCTGGAGCACAAGTCTTATGAGGAGTGGCTGAGGGATCTGGGGCTGTTTAGCCTGGAGAAAAGGAGGCTGAGGGGGGAACCCTATTGCTCTCTACAACTACCTGAAAGGAGGTTGTAGTGAGGTGGGTATCAGTCTCTCCCAAGTAGCAAGCAATAGGACAGGAGAAAATGACCTCAAGTTGTGCCTGGGGAGGTTTAGATTGGATATTAGAGGAAACTTCTTCACCAAATCAGTTGTCAAACATTGAAAGAAGATGCCGAGGGAAGTGGTTGAGTCACCATCCCTGGAGATATGTGTAGATATGGTGCCTAGGGACATGGTTTACAGGTGGACTTGGCAGTGCTGGGTTAATGGTTGAACTCAATAATTTTAAGGGTCTTTCCTAACCTAAATGATTATGTTTTTTTTATTACAGTGCAATCCTGCAGGAACCTTATGAAAGTGCTTATTGTGAAAATCATCTTGGTACCAAATTTATGTACAGTCCAGTCTAACAAACTACAGTCAAACCAGTTAACTGGAGTCACAAGATCTTCCCCCAATACACTAAAAAAAAAAAAAAAGCCTCTTACGGATCAGAAATAAATGATTGCATGCAGCATTCTCCCCAGTCTTCATTTTCTTTCCCCAAACAGCAAGGCTCCTAAACAACTAGGTATCAGAAGTGTTGCTTCCTTCCAGTTGCATGCATTGGTGAAACCTTAACGTACTCAGTGCTATTTAGTACGCATTTACTATGCTAAAACACTGAAGTCAATCAAAAGTTAATATGTATTTTCTTTGGTTAATTAAAAAAAAAAAGGAGCATCCACATGCAGAGGAAGTTGAACCAGAAGATGCACTCAGAGCACACTTCATGTTCTCTAGCTGCTAATGGGCACTTATTTAATGCAACAAACTGCAGCTACTTTCAAGTAAAAATCATGCATACTATAGCCATTGGTACTCCGGCACAAGCTGTACCTATCCCTAACAGGTACCACTACTACTTAACAAAGACAGTGCCAAACAACCTTTTCTTTTTTTGACAGGATAGAGAACATCTAGATGTGTTCTGGTTTCTCCACTTTGACTACTCGTCCCTCAGATTCCTGCTTGTAGACAGTAAAAAATTCATTCTTACAGTAAAAATTCATTCTTACGGGCTCTCTGCACCAATTTCCTGCCATGAACCCCCCACTGCATCAATAGCCTGGTACTGGAAATCCTTACTCAGCCAAAGCATTGACAGCTTTCCATTGGGTACAGGGGCTGGGTAAGGACATGCCATCAAGGCAGACTCTCCAAGTCCTTTCCTTCAAGAAGGGCTCAGCCCAGCTCCCCATACTCAAAGCTGGCTCTCGCACAGGGCTCAAGCACACCCCTTATGCACATTAACAGAGTTTTAAATTGATCATAGAATCATAGAATGGTTTGGGTTGGAAGGGACCTTTAAAGATCATCTAATTCCAACCCCCTTGCCATGAGCAGGGACACCTCCCACTAGACCAGGTTGCTCAGAGTCCCATCCAACCTGGCCTTGAATGTTTCCAGGGATGGGGCATCTACTGCCTCTCTGGGCAGCCTGTGCTAGTGTTGAACCACCCTCATTGTAAAACTTTCTTCCTTATATTTAGTCTAAATCTCCCCTCTTTTAGTTTAAAACTAAAAACACCCCTTTTCCTATTGATACAGGCCCTGCTAAAAAGTCTGTCCCTATCTTGTAAGTTCCCTTTAAGTACTGAAAGGCTGCAGTAATGTTTCCCCAGACCCTTTTCTCCAGGCTAAATAACCCAACTCTCAGCCTTTTCTATAGGCAAGGAGCTCCAGAACTCTGATGACTTTTGTGGCTCTCCTCTGGACCCAATCTCCAGTTTGGGCTGTTCTGGAGATGCCCAGAGGGTCCCCGAGCTCCGGTCCCTCTGGGGTTACTTGCTGAATCTCCCGTTTGCAGGGTGCTGGCACGGATGAGAGGACCCTCACCCGCATCATGATTTCCCAGAGTGAGATTGACCTGCTCAACATCCAGGGCAAGTTCATGGACCTGTTCGACAGATCTCTGTACCGCATGATTGAGGTGAGGGCACACGGGCATCCCTCCCTGGTTTGTAACTTTGTCTGGTTGGGTCCTGGTCCTATAGGATCCATAGCCATGAGTGGCACAGGGGCTGAGCATCACCTGGGGAGGGAGAAGTACCCCAACCAGCTCCAGTGTTGGCATTTCTGGCTGTAGAGGGGATGTACTGATACCTGTGGCATGGAAATATTCCTTCCCGATGCCTTGCCCTGGGCTTTTCCAGTTCTCTGACATGGGTCTCCCTCTTGCAGAAGGACACCTCCAGTGACTGCCACATGGCTCTGCTGTCCCTGTGCGGAGGGGAGGACTAGGTGGCTGCAGGAGCCCCTTCTTCGTGTCTGAGCCAGCACGCACGCACCCACTGCCTTGAAGTCACTGCAGCTTTGGGGGTTTCAGGGGACACTGGGCTCCCTGCAGAGGATGAAAGCAGCAGCACATTGCAAGGGGGGTCTTGGGGAGGGGAGCAGAGGGCTCTGGGTAAGGAGATGTTCACAATAATTCATACCCAACATGCCACTAACCCAGGAATTTACTCAGATGGAAAAGACAATTTTAGATCTCATAAATAAAACCTTACTGTTGCTGACCATGGGGTGAGAGCAGTTGATTTATTGGGGTAGGTTTGGGGGAGATTGAGCCCATGCTGAGGAGTCTCAGTGTCTCCTTGCTACTGCAGGGACCCCAAATGCCCTTTGAACAACACTGCAGCATTCCCTGCTGTGAGGAAGGGGCTGGAAATTCATATGGGGCTGGCAGCAGCGCAGGGAGTTCACTGAGATGACACGGTATATAGGCTGCACAGCCTCTTAGTGTTTTCCTGTGTAAGACCATATACAATTCTTAGAAGCTGATGGGTTTTTGGGGAGAGGTTGGAATTATATTTTAACTTGAATACATTTCCTTTTTAAATTAGGTAAAAACCCACAAACAAACAAACAAAAAACCCCCCCCAAAAAACCAACCAAACAAAAAAAAACCAAACAAACAAACAAAAAAAAACCATCAAAACCCGAAAACGAAAACCAGATTTCCTCCTAAGACGAAAAGCCACTACCACCCCAAAATCCACCCTTTGAAGAACGAAAGCATTGTTTTCCAATATACTGCCTGTGTCACTGCAAGGCTCCCACCTCTGCCACTTTCTTTCCTCTTGAAATAGTGTTGTTATGAAGCCATCTCTCCCCAAACGCCCAGGCTCGCCAACGCTGCAATGCCCCCCTCCTGCTACCCCTGGCATAGGGCTGTACCGGGCTCACCCACTGCCCTGAGAGGTGGGAAAGCACGAACTGCCAGCTTGCCACGGGTACCCTGATCGGGTAGGTGGTCGCCCTGAGGGGTGGCAATGGTTGTGCACAGCAGGGAGCAAACGAAGAGCGCTGGCAGAGCGGTGCCTGCGGCGAACGCCGAGGGGCCGCACACGCGGCGCCCGATTGAGTGGGACACGGCTGGAGCCGCGCTCTCAGGAGGAGGCTCCCCGCTCCGGGAGGGCGCCCCTAGGCGGCTGCGGCCCACGACGGAGGGCAGCGGGAGGAGGCAGCGACCGGCGGAGGGCGAGGAGCGAGCTGCAGACGGGCACCGCGGCACCGACCCCCTCGCCTGAGCTGCCAGCCCTCGCCTTACCGGAGGGGGAAGGAAGTGTAACCTGGGGCGGGGAAGAGGGTAGGTGTGTGACGAGGTGTTTGGCGTTGAGCCTCAGGAAGCGGGGGGGGCGAAGCGTTTCCCTCAATACCGGGAATTAAAAGTTTCTGTTAATCGGCAGTAAATTAAAGGGATGAAAGGTCTGAAGTCGAGGAAGTTTGCCTGCGGCAGTAACTGATGGAGAACGGGAGTACTGCCCTCCGGAGGCCGGGACTGAATCTGGAACTTGGCAGCACCAGCACTGTGGTCGGGTATGAAGAGCTGCCGTGGGGTGCCCGGGGCTCACCATGCGCTGCCGTGGCCGCTCAGCAGAGCCGGGTAGCGGAGCGCGGGGGGGCTGACAGCCTTCATTAGAGCTACGCGCCGCTAACGGAGGCGGCAGCTGCCGCTCGGCGGGGCCCAGGGTATCGCCCAACAGCTGCAGACGCGGCCCCAGTGGTGGGGGAGCGCGCGGCGAGATGAAGTGAGCGCCCTGGCGGGGGAAGCCGCCCCTCGGTTGCAGAACACGAGGTCTGGTCGCAAAGGCTGTGTTCAAAGTCTTGTAAGCGTCTGGGCTTTGCATTTTGCAGGAAGAGGGGAGGTTTGTGAATGGTGTTTACTCAAACTGTGGTGACATTAAGAGCCACAGTATAGTTTCCAGAGACAATGGATGGAGATGTACTTAGTGTGCGAGCACATTGTAACAATTTAATCTCCCTTGTCTAAGAGGAGTGGCCGACTGACTTTGCAATTTATGTGTATTAAAGTTGTGATTATGCTAAAAGTACAGTTTATAAAGATGTATGTATTAAAACAGGAATGTGAAGGGGCTTGTTTCAAGAGAAAATGGAGGAGAAAGTAGAGGAGACGTGGAAAGCAACATGCTTGGATATGCAGCTGGAGAAGTGCTTCCTGCCAGAGGTATGGCCCTGAGGGACTGTGGACTGTGAGTGAGTTGCCCGCACCAGGGCACAGACAACAGGCAGGCCCACAAGACTGTGACTCACAGACAGCTCGTGCTGGAACAGAGGAGCAGTAGGAAACGAGTAGCTATGGGAAAAAAAAAAAGATTAATAAGCAAGCACTGGCAAAAGTAAGCTACTAGACAGCATCCATAGCATTCTCCACTGTGTACTGCTAAAATAATGAAAGCTAAGGCTAGGAGAGAAGAGAGGAGAGGTAGATGTTGGGATAAGTTGAGCCTGGGGAAGGGCCAGTGGGGAAGGTGTTCCCTAAGTGTTTGTGTAATTGAGGGGAAAATATTAATGCAATCAAAAATTCAAGGCTTATATTAATTGGCAGTAGATCAAATTAAGTGAACCTCTCTGAGTGAAGACTCTGTTGGCTGCAGTGCTGTATCAGGCAAAGAGGACAAACTAACTTCCCTCTTCTTCCCTGCTTTCCTAGAGGTGTCTGATACAATCTTGTCAATTTTTCTGTCTCCCAAGTAAAACAATAAAATTCACAACAGTCTTCCAGGCAGGTAACCAGTAGTCATCACTATGATTTTTCCCCAATAAAAAAAATGAGACCCTCTCAATAAATCAAAAAAAAATTGCTTTTAGAATAAAATATGCCTTTCTGTCAGGAAATGTTTATTTTATGAAGTAATAGGCTTTTTTATGTTCCTGGAGAAAAAAAAATGCAGTTTGTGTTGAAAACTTCCTTATATTTAGCAGAACTTGTTTTTCCTTGTACTCGGGTGAATCGATAGAAGAGTAGCCAAAGTGAACTCTCTTGTACTAAGGTGAATCGATATAAGAGTTACCAAGTGAATATAAAATACTCTCAAAGGCCTACTTTAGAAATATCATGCACTGATCTGCTAATGATAGTTCTTGAGGAGAAGCCTTTCCTGTGTGAATATAGTCAGAAGAATCAACTTTATATATATATAAACTTTATATATCTCTTATGTGTCTTCTGAATATTGTGTCTAGTTCTGTGACAGAACCATACTTACTTTCTTCTCAGTACTGCCAAGCCAGTATAGCTGCAGGTGGGCAAGCTGTGTTCTGTTTTGTCCATCATCATCAGAATTTCCAAATTAATTCTCACTCGAGTCTTTCCCACTAGAGTTTGTATTTTAAACAGAAACAAAAAACACTTGATCTTGAAATCTCGTCTCCTGATCTGGAAACTGTAAGTCTAAAAAATCATTCCTGGGCTAGGAAAACTACTGAATGCACTGTGCTTCCAGCTAAAGAGTCAGAAGGGGCTGTATAGAGAAGCACAGAGGCTGTATCTCATGCAGTTGTGTGTACAGGGAGCGTATATGAAGCTACACACTTAAGATGATTTTTCATTGTCTTGGCTCAACTGAGGGAAATAGGTGACACAAGGGGTTGAATGTTGTGAACCATAGGAATAAATGAACATTTTCCAAATGCTATTTAGGGTATATTCAAGTAATTAACTTGTATGTCTTTGATACTCAGCTGCCTTGTCCACATTCCTCTGCTGAATTTGATATGCCTTACGAAGTACAGCTTCAATGTTGGCACCAGAAAAGCACACATTAGCAATGCTTATGTTCTACTATATCTGCAGTTCTGTGAACTATCACTGGTGTAAGGTAGTCTCCTTCTTTACAGGAAGAACATGTATTTTTTCTTTTGACTTTGTTACAATGAAATGGCATTGCATTAAATCAGACTGGAAGAATAGCTTTTGATGTCCTGCAAAAAAGAAATCAAAGTATGTTTTTATGGCTAGCCAGTAACGTTGGTATTATAGAAGCTACAGTAATTAGGCAGAATAAAACTGATATACTCACTGAAAATGGAATTTATGCCTCAGGTTCTAGTATTCCTAACAGAATTGAAGGGTGGTATTTTCAAAACACTTAGTCCTCAAATTTACTCAGGAACTACCTTAGTATATAAGTGGTCTGCTGATTTCTCGTCATAAAATGTACATAAAATGTACATTTGCTATTGACAACCTGGACTGTTAAGTAGGAAGTGTTCCTTGACTCATTGACATTGTAATCTTAATAATAGATTCAGTGGTGTGGGCTGAGGTATCTTGTCTTTAGGGAGCCAAAAGTATGTATTATGGGTGTGCTAAGTGAATGAGCATCACAATGTCTGCACTCCTGAATAGACAAAATCTCTGTTTCATATCCATGTCACTTAACACAGTACTGAAGACTTGACTTTTTTTAAAAAAAAGTTACTTGAGCAAATGGAGTAATTTCTGCAACTTAAGTTAAAATAGTAACTCAAAGATTGATTTTAAGTGAAGGTTGTCAAAAACATAAAGAAGAAAGGGATGATTAAGGGGTTACTAGATTATAGCTGAGAAAGCCTGGAGGGGTGGTCTGTGTGTAAGCAAGGTAACTCACAGAGCAAAAGAATTTGTGTGGCTTCTTACTCTAATTTCTTGGTATGGTAAGTGAAGGTTAACACATCATGAAGTCAGTTGCTTACCAGATTCTATTCAGACGCTTGCTGTATCCTTGGATAAGGAGATGTACTCAAGATGGAGCCTGTTTATGTAACAATGAGGATTATATCAGCAGAGTATTTGGCATTGTAATACTATACCTTTTAGCTCTCCAGCCAGACGTTGCTTAGGGATTGACTTCCTGTGGGTATTCTGCAAAGCACACTCTTTTTAGCAGGCTTTTGGGTGGAAGCTTTTGCTGTATTTTAAGAAGAGTAAAGCCTGGGTGATTAATTGTACCAGTTCAGCTATCTAGATTAACATGAGGTGGTGTAAGGGGGACTATGGAGGAGGAGAAAAGATGATTAATTCTGTTTTGCAATAAATTCTTTATTAATACTGATGTAAAAGTTACAGACTGCTTAAAAATAATACCTGGGTGGAAATGTGAAAGATATAATGAGAGAGAATTAATTAAAGCCTGAAGAAAAAAAAATCATGATGAAAAATGATAGATAAGAAGGCAACATGCTTAAAACTTCCTAAATGCTCACCTGAGCCAGACACATCATCTCAACAGAGATCAGGTTGGTGAATGATCACAAAGTCAGTATAATATTTTTCAGCTCAACAAATCAAGTGAGTGTTAAATAAAGTAAGCTTAAGCTATTTAATCTTAGATGACAATATGCAAATTCCATAGAGTATGTAGTAAGCACCTTTCTTTTTATATTCAGGATCTGGATAGTGTCTGTGTAGTCCCTGAGCAGGTATCTCATTGTGTCTGCAGTCACAGACCGGTATCCGCACTTATCTGCATGACTGACAAGCTACAGACAAATATGAAATAGAAGTATTTTGCATTTTTGAAAAAGCAATAGCAGATTTCAGTGCATATTAAAGAATAAATCAACTCAAATACACCTAATCCTTTCTTGCTCAGAAGAAAAGCAGGACAGTTATATTTACCTTGCAACATACTGTGTGCTTCTCTTATAATGAGAAATTCATCCAGTTCCAATTCTGAGGTATTATTCATGTAATCCCTAAAAAAATTATTTCCAACGAGAATGAAAACTTACACAGATCTACCAAGCTTATCAAAATGTTACTCAGGCTGTCAGTGTACTGTACCATTTTCTACCTCTTGGATTCTGGCCTCTCTGCTGAGTAGGTCAGAACAGCATCAATCTTTCAGTTTTTAATTTGAATCACAAACTATATGATATCCATTTAAATTCTGATAAAACAGTGGTTTATGTATGCAATTGAAAAATTTTGTATAATTAAAAACCCTCACTCCACAGAGCTGTACATTATCATAGAATCATAGAATAGAATCATAGAGTCATAGAATAGTTAGGGTTGGAAAGGACCTGAAGATCATCTAGTTCCAACCCCCCTGCCATGGGCAGGGACACCTCACACTAAATCATATCACCCAAGGCCTCGTCCAACCTGGTCTTGACCACTGCCAAGAATGGAGCATTCACAACCTCCCTGGCCAACCTATTCCAGTGCCTCACCACCTAACAGGAAAGAATTTCCTCCTTCTATCCAATCTAAACTTCCCCTGTTTAAGTTTGAACCCATTACCCCTTGTCCTATCACTACAGTCTCTAATGAAGAGTCCATCCCCAGCATCCCTATAGGCCCCCTTCAGATACTGGAAGGCTGCTATGAGGTCTCCATGCAGCCTTCTCTTCTCCAGGCTGAATAGCCCCAACTTCCTCAGCCTGTCTTCATACAGGAGGTGCTCCAGTCCCCGATCATCCTTGTGGTCCTCCTCTGCAGTTGTTCCAACAGTTCCGTGTCCTTTTTATGTTGAGGACACCAGAACTGCACACAATACTCCAGGTGAGGTCTCATGAGAGCAGAGTAAAGGGGCAGGATCACCTCCTTTGACCTGCTGGTCACGCTCCTTTTGATGCAGCCCAGGATACTGTTGGCTTTCTGGGCTGCAAAAGCACACTGCTGGCTCATGTTCATTTTCTCATCAACCAATCTGAGTGTTCCTTTTGTGGCACAAGATACTCAGTGTTATCTCTGGAGTTTAGCTAATGAGCTTTCAGCAAACAAACCACAGTGCATAAAACAGGAGTAAAAACTTGGGGCTACTCAAAAGATGCACTTGAACATTCCATTTAATCAAAACTGATTAAAACTATCATTCATAGAATATTTAATTTTTTATACATTTTTGAAAGGAGGAAATGAAAATGTATTCTTTAATTTTTTTTTCTAAACCAATGTTTACATTTTTATTTCAATTTGATTTTCCACTTGGAAATACATATTTTTTAATTAAAAAGCTGTACAGAAGAATTTGTGCAGGAAGAAAGTAATACTAAACAGTAATTCAGGAAGTCATGGCTTTAGCTCAGACTAAACTAAAGTGAAATGAACTTGCCTGTTCCTTTTCCTGTAGTGCAAACTTGGTATAAAATCTAGTGTTGTGAAAAAATGGTTCTAGTGAAAAGTTTAGTAAAAAAGCTGGGGGTGTTTAAGAGAAAAAAATGAGATAAAAGTTTCAA